ATGGCGTGCGGAAGATAGCGGGCACCCCTCCGCGTGCTGTTTTTCTACACGCAGGATTTCCTGGAGTTGGGTTTTCGCTTGGTTTTTTTTCAAAATGATGTTCTCGCTGAGGCGCGGGCTTCATTTTCGGGCTTCCGCTCGTTCCGAATCGTGCTCCCGCTGCAGCGCTGGCCTCATTTCCGTGCTTCTGGTCGTTCCGAATCGTGCTCCCGCTGCAGCGCTGGCCTCATTTCCGCGCTTCCGCTCGTTCCGAATCGTGCTCCCGCTGCAGCGCTAGCGTCATTTCCCGCGCCATGCCACGGCATGCAATGCAATGCTAGGTTGCGTTCCGCTGCGCGATGCCATGCCTTCAGCTGCAGCTGTCATATCCAGTGCGCAAGTGCCACGTCATGCTATGCCATGCTACGTTTTGATCTTCAACGCCATGCTATGCACTGTTATGTTCGGGGCCGCTGTGCGATGCCATGCTTTGCGTTGCAAAGCTTTGTGATGCAATTCTTCACTACGCCACGCCACGCCACGCCATGCTGTGACATACTACGCTTTGCGGTGCTCTTCTACGCCATGCCATGCCGTGCTCTACAATGCATCGCGTACCCTTTCGGGATCATTGACCTGCTCAACATCCGACTGTGCGAGTAGAGAGGGGATCTACGCCATGGTAAGGGATGGGAGTGAGGGGTAGAATATCAGATATGACGCGAGCGTACCTAGCTTGTCCCCCTCGCCCTCCCCCTCCTCCTCCTCCTCCTCCTCCTCCTCCTCCTCCTCCTCCTCCTCCTCCTCCCCCCCTTTCTCCTCCTCCTCCGCCTCCTCCTCCTCCTTCGCTTCCTCCTCCTCCTCCTCCTGTCAATACATACGCCTCCCCCGCATGCTCAGCCGTCCTTCATCGCCTGCTTCCTCCTCCTCCTCCTCCTCCTCCTCCTCCTCCTACGACACTCCACTTCCTCCTCATCCACCAACTCATCCTAGTCACATCCACCTATCAGTCCTCCTGCCCGCTCCTCCGCCTCAATGAGGCGGAGGAGAGGGCGGGAGGACTCAGGCCCCTCCGCCTCAAGGAGACGCACCGTCCATCACACTTCCTCCTCCTCCTCTTCCTCCTCCTCCTCCTCATCCTCCTGCTCCTCCTCCTCCTCCTCCTCCTCATCCGTTCTCCGTCTCCTCCTCCTCATCCCGATCGTCGTCGCACCACCACCATCACAATCTGCATCATCATCATCATCATCATCATCATCATCATCATCATCATCATCATCATCATCATCATCATCATCACCATCACCATCACCATCACCAGCACCAGCACCAGCACCATCACCATCATCATCATCATCATCAGCATCATCATCATCATCATCATCATCATCATCATCATCATCATCATCATCATCATCATCAACATCAGCATCATCAGCATCATCAGCATCATCATGCTCATCATGCTCATCAACATCATCAGCAGCATCAGTATCAGCATCAACATCAGCATCATCCTCATCAGCATGAGCAGCATCATCCTTATCATCATCAGCAACATCATCAGCATCATCATCATCATCACCACTCGACAGCATAAGCATCATATCGACCATCAGCATCAGCATCAGTAGCATAATCAGCATCGTGATCACCACCACAACTACCACCACCATCAACATCAACACCGTCATCAGTAGCAGAAGCATAAGCAGCAGCAGCAACATCAGCATCATCATCATAATCAGCATCATCATGATTAGCATCATCATCATCATCATCATCGTCCTCATCCTCATCCCCATCCTCATCCTCATCTCCTGATCCTCATCCTCCTCCTCATCATCCTCATCCTCATCCCCATCCTCATCCTCGCCCTCATCCTCATCCTCCTCATCATCATCATCATCATCATCATCATAATCATCATCATCAGCATCATCATCGTCATCATCATCATCATCAGCATCATCATCATCGTCATCGTCATTGTCGTCGTCATCATCCACCTCCCGAACTTCTCCTGATCTTCCTCCTCAGCATCCTCTCCTCGTTCACCCCGTTATTCGGTTCAAAGAGTGGTATCTAAGATAACAGGGCTCCATCACAATAAATCTGGCGCGGCCACAAGTCTCAGTTTTCCTTGCTCTGGATTTACAAAATGTACCAGCTACAGTCACGCATGGTAAGCTGCCATGAAGCTGGATACACGCGCACACATACACACACACGAAATAAATGCCATCTGGTACGTTTATGTATTGTCTTATCTATGTGGAGTGGAGCGGCGCTGCGCCATGCACTGCATCGCACCTGCGTTGGTTTGGTTTGCACTTCCGGGTTCGAGCCGCTGCGCATCTCATTGGGAAACCGAGACCAAGATGGCGTGCTGGGGATGGGCGGACGGGGGGGGTACAGGCCGCGAAAACTTGGGTCAGGGGGGGAGATCGGAGGATTTGTGCTTACATACGTGGACTGGTGGAAACATGTGTTGGGAAATTGTTGCGAGGGCTTTCCGACA